ACCACTTGTTTACTCCCTGAATGGCTGAGATGGCTGGGGTTGGGCCACGCCAAAGCCAGGAGCCCCAAACTCCATTTTGTGGCAGGGTGGGTAGCAGGAGCCCAACTGCTTGGGCCATCTTGCACTGTCTTCCGGGATACATTATTAGGGAGCTGGATTGGAAGCTGAGTAGCCAAGACTTGGAACTGGAGCTCCAGTGTTGGATGCCAGTGTTGCAAGTGGTGGCTTAATCTGCTGGGCCATAGCTTCTGCTTGTAACGTAAGTTTTACATTTTCATGTAGTTAGACCCTTTTCTTCCCCTTTGGCATCTGGATGTCTCTCTTGCTTTACATTATTGTTTTTAGAGATTTATTTCTTTTTTGAAAGGAAGAGTTACAGAGAGGCAGAGGCAGAGTGAGAGAGAGAGGTCTTCCATCTGCTGGTTCACTCCCCATATGGCCGCAACACCCAGAGCTGAGCTGTTCCGAACCAGGAACTTCTTCTGGGTCTCCATGCAGGTGCAGGGTCCCAAGGACTTGAGGGCCATGTTCTATTGCTTTCCTAGGCCATAGCAGAGAGAGAGAGAGCTGGATAAGAAATTGAGCAGCTGGGACCAAACTGGTACCCAAATGGGATGTCAGCATTGCATGTGGCGGCTTTAAGCCTATGCTGTAGCACAGGCCCCTGCTTTACATTCTTACAACTGTTTTGGCAGATGTTCATTCTCTTTGTATGGAGAAAAATATAAAAATCATATAATGAAAGGTACTTTTAGAAGCCTGAAAATGCTTCACACTATTCTACTTTGTCTTCATAATCTGCATCTATGAATTATTTTACTTATTAATATTTAAGATATTTTTGTATATTTTATGTCTTCTTAACATTGTGATACATCAAGAATTAGTAAGCTGTGTGGGCTGGACTACTGCTGAAGAGCTGTATTCATGTAGTGATGATCACCAGATAGTGAAGTGGAACTTGTTAACCAGTGAAACAAGTCAAATAGTAAAGCTTCCTGATGACATTTACCCTATAGATCTTCACTGGTTCCCAAAAAGTTTTGGTGTAAAGAAACAGACTCAAGCAGAAAGCTTTGTCCTCACAAGTTCTGATGGTAAGTTTTAAGTAGGTGTTCTGTGCTCATCTTTGTATTTAAAAGATATAATATATTAATGCAATTTATGGTTTGAGTTGTTTTACAAGGTTGATTTTTGTAGGTCTAACTATGTTATCCATACTTTTATGGGCTACAAAACATTTTTTTTTCTTTTTAAGGATTTATTTTATTTGTTTCAAAGGCAGAATTAGAGAGAGAAAGATATCTTCCGTCTGCTGGTTTACTCTCCCAATAGCCATACTGGCCGTAGTTGGGCCAGACCAAAGACAGGAGCATGGAGTCCCATCTGGGTCTCCAACATGTGTACAGGGGCCCAAGTACTTGGGCCACCTCCCTGTGCTTTCCCAGGCACATTAGTAGGGAGCTGGATCAGAAGTGCAGCAGCTGGGACTCGAACTAGTGCTCACATGGGATGTCTGTGTCACAGGTAGTGGCTTAACCAGCTGCACCGCAGTGCTGGCCCAAAAACTTGTCTTGAAGGAAACTAAAATAAACTGAGATTGAATATGGGCCTTTAACTTTACTTTTTCTCTGCTTTTGTGAGTTGAGTTCAGCTGTTACCAGTTTTGGTTTCTAATTTCTTCAAATTTTTCTTAGTAACATAACTTCACTAAAGTATATGGGCATACTCATTTGGTAAACTATCTATTAAATATATCCTTTCTTTTCTAGTATATGTTAATTTCTAGTTACAAAGTTGAAGATTTATAGAATTTGACTATATTCTTATTGGTGAATAGAAAGCATGAATTTTTTTCCCTTAGGTATGCTTGAACTGTTTTTATATGTATTGTACTTTACCTACTATTGTATTGTATCTGTATTGTACTTTACTGTGCTAATTGGGAGTATCCTCATCAGAAATCATAGACTTACAACTTATGGAGTTTTTTGGTTCACCTAACTATAGGGCGTAGATCTTCAAGCAAAGCTATATCAAGTCCCTGTTCTCATCATTTCTTTCTTTTCTTCCTTCTCCTCCCATCTCTTCTTACCCCTCCCCTTCCCTTCCCTTCCCTTCTTTAAAAGATGTATTTATTTATTTTAAAGGCAGAGTTACAGAGACAGAAGGAGAGACAGAGATCTTCCATCCATTGGTTCATTGCCCCATTGGCCACAAGGGCCAGAGCTGGGCCAGGCCAAAGCCAGAAGCTTTATCCAGATCTCCCACATTGTGTGCAGGGGCCCAAGTACTTGAGCTATCTTTTGCAGCTTTCCCAGGAGTGTTAGTTGGGAGCTGGATCAGAAGTGGAGGAGCCAACCTGCTCCACCACAATGCCTCACCATTTCTTGAATAGGTTCTCCTCTCATGGAGAACCTAATGGTGGCCAGTAGTCCAAGGCTTATCATACTAGATAAGAAATGTCAGCAGAAAGAGTGCTTCTTCTTCACTATCTCTTGCTGGCCTGGTTAGGTACACATCACTGTGTGAATCACATTAGTCAAGAGAATGGGATGCTGATTGAGAAAGTAAGTCTTGGGGCTGGAGCTATGGAGTAGCTGGTAAAACTGCTGGCTGAAGTGCCAGCATACCATATGGTCACCGGTTTGAGTCCTGGCTGCTCCGCTTCTGATCCAGCTCTCTGCTGTGGCCTGGGAAAGCGGGAGGAGATGGTCACAACAGACAGGTCTTTGCCAGGCTGAGGCCAGAAACTAGAAACTCCATCTTTGTCTCCACATAGGTGTCAGGAGCCCAAGGACTTGGGCCCTCTTTTGCTGCTTTCCCAGTTGTATTAGCAGGAAGCTGAATTGGAAGAAGAGTAGTAGGGACTTGGACTGGCACTCCCATTTTGAACCAGCACTAGTATGTGAGATGTCAGCTTCAGAAGCATTGGGATTACATGCCGTGCCACAACGGGTGCCCCTATATGTCGTTTTTACAGTTTCTTCTGTTGAGGTTTTTGTCTTCTTCTGGTTCTTTTGTTGTTGTTGTTGTTGTTGTTGTTGAGCAACATAGTAAGCCAGTCCCAAAGGGACAAATACCACATGTTCTCCCTGATCTGTGATAACTAACAGAGCAGCTAAATGGAAATCTGTAGAAGTGAAATTGACACTATGAGAAGCAATGACTTGAACAGCCCCTGTCTTTACTGTTGAGGAAGTTTTTTTTCTCTTCTTCATACTATTTGTTGAACTCTTAATATAGAGTTAATCATATGTGTATATAGTCATTGAAAATAGATTTCAGTAAAAATAAGAGTGGGAATAAGAGAAGGAGGAGAAAGTTTGTAACTGTAAAGCTGTATAGTCCTGCATTACTTCTAAGTGTACAGCTAAAAACTTGCCATGGGACTCCAAATCCCATTAAGCTGGGTGGTAATAATGCCATTCTAAGTGTTAAAGTGATCATATTAAGTGTCAAATTATCATATAGATAGGATTAAATGTTAAATGGATCATATAAATAAGATCAAGTGTCTGGTAATAACAATAGATAGAATTAAAAAGAAGAGAATGTTCCAACATGGGAAGCAGTTCACACAGCACACTCATAGAATGACAGTTGCTCCAAAGAGCACTCTGACCTCAGAATCAGCTCTGAAGGCATTCTGCTCTGGCTGCAAAGTCCATGAGAGCATGTCAGGCATGGAAAGCTAAGACACTGTGGCAAACAACAACAACAACAACAAAAAACAAAACCCATCCTGCATGAAGGATCTCTGTGAGTGAGACCCCAGTGGAAAGAAGGGGCCATTAAAGAAGGATGGATGTACTTTTCTCTGAAGGGAGGAGAGAACCTCTACTTTGCTTATGGCCTTGCCAGAATACTGATAGAGGCTGTGGACTCAAAAGTCTTCCATAGCCTTGGCAGCTCATGTCAAGAGCCTTGGGTGATCATTGATGTAATACCTGAGAGTGTTAATTGTTAAATTAACAACAAGAGTCACTGTGCACTTAACTCCCCATGCAGGACCTCTGGCCTCAATGAATTGTACTATGAGAATTAACTGTAAAACTTGTTCTCAAACTTTTTTAAAAATATTTTGTGTGTGTGTGTGTGTGTGTGCAAATTGTTGAAATCTTTACTTAGTATAGAGTTGGTCTTCTGTGTATAAAGTGAAAAGGAATGTTAATGGAGAATGAGACTAGGAATGGGAGAGGGAAGAGGAGGTGGGATGGGAGGGTGGGTATGGTGGGAAGAATTACTATATTCCTAAGTTGTATTTATGAAATTTGTACCCACTAAATAAAAGGTTTCTAAAAAAAAAGAAAAATGTATATCCAAATTAATTTGTTAGTCTTATAAAGAGAGTAATAGCACAGTAGTTACGTGAAAGAAAAAGTTGTGTATTATTGAAGGCCTTGAAAAATGAATGAATGGAGAATAAAGCCATCAAAATCAAAGAGCTAAAAGAGAATAAGTAAGGCATCATTTTGGGTTACTGAGTTGGTTGAATTTGACAAATGGTAATTATGTGAAAGCACTGTTACAAATAAAAATATGACTAAACCATGTGCTGAACTGAATCACAGCCCGTTTTTTATTAGGGTATCAGTTAAACAAATACTACAGCAGATCTACAAATAAAGTATATTCTTTGTAGGGAAGAGACTGACTTTGTTGGTTGGAATGGGGTACGTGGTACAGGGTGCGCTAGGCATATCGAAAGCTATTTTAAGCATTTGACAATAATGAATTGTTGATATTAGGCCAGAATCTTGAAAAGCCATCAGTTTAAATGTGAATTTAAACACAATGATATTTCTGAGTTGACATGTTGAATCAGCTGCTGCATTATTCTCTCACTGCAGGGAAAAGTACCTTTTGATTTTGGGGAAAGTTTCTAGTTTCGCTGCACTTTATTGCCAGCTATTTCTAGACTTAATGATCATTTAAAAACCACATTGATCCTTTCTCAACTTGATGTATCACTTATTTGTACAGTTGATTTTTCTCCATGAATTCTCTTATATAATTTGTTATGTTCTTTAAAGGTATAAATTCTTCACTTTCTGCCTATGTATGTGCAAACTTTTTGAGAATGGCAACTAATTAATCTGCTTTTTATCTAACTGATGCCTGTCACAGTGTAAAGTCATGTAAAGCCAGTACTTGAAAACCTATAATTATCCATTTAACTTTTGGTTCCTTTCCTTTATACATTTCTTTAGCTTTTTCATAGCCTGTAAAAAAATCAAGACTATAAAACTTCTTAAATAAAAGGCTTTATTGATATTTCTCTTGGTACTACTTGGCCATATCTCATCAGAGTTGTATCATCATTCTGAACTATCATAGCACTATATTTGTGTCTGTATCTGTTATACTGCTTGTTTCAAGGTTTCTTAATTTTGTTTTTTGTGCCTGTTCTCCAGTAGATTTGTGTGTTCCTTGAGATTAAGAGTATTATTTGCTCATGCTTCAGTGCTTAGTACTAGGCTCACCAGTGTAGTAGTACTCAACAGATATTTGTTGATTGAATAAATTAGTAAAAGGTCTGTCAAATATATCTTTTTTTTAAGGTAAATTTCATCTGATTTCGAAGTTAGGAAGAGTAGAAAAAAGTGTAGAAGCTCACTGTGGAGCAGTACTTGCAGGAAGATGGAATTATGAAGGAACAGCATTAGTTACAGGTAAAATGCAAAAGTAACATTTTAAGTAAATTTTTGAAAGAAACAATATTTTTATTTACCAATGATGTCTTTCACTGTGTAACAGCAAATAATTGTGATAGTATTGATCCTGACTGCTGCATAAATGTTATGTAACAGAATGTCCTATTGTTCATTTTCCCATGTAACTTAGAAACTGTCCTATAATTTTCTGATGGTCGAGTATGGGGTAAATGAAAGTTCTAATTCCTTAAAAATCAAAATAATCTCATATAACTGACCTTTATTTACCTCTGTTCTACTCTAAGAATTCATAATTCCTTTATTAGTTTTCATTTACTACAAAACAAACTACCCCAAAAGTTAGTGACTCAAAATAATAAACATTTTTTGACATAAACAATGCTTTTTAGCTACAACTTCCTCTCTCTTTCTTTTTCAGCCAAGCTGTTTAAAGTAGTAGTCTCTTACTTAACTTCATTAATTCCCTAACCCACTGGAATTTGGCTTTCTGTGGGCTGATTAGGTGGATGATTCTTTTGGTTTAGAGTCTCATGGGTGTCCAGTCAAGTTGTTGGATAGGGCTTCAGTCATATGAAGGCTTGACTAGGCTTGTCAAGTTCTACTTTGATGGTTTATTCAACGTAGCTGTTGACAAGAGTCTTAACTCTTTGCCACATGAACATCTTCACAGTGCTGCTCTAACTTAATGGAATTTGACTTAGAAAACATTTTTCATAGAATTATAAAATGGAGAGTTCAATGCCAACTGAAGCATTATTTGAATAATATCCTCTTATGATAATATTATAATAATGGCCTCTTATAATAATATCCTCTTAATCTAAGATTGAAAGAAAAAATAAAACTGTAATACAGAAGTTAGGCCATTTTGATAAAATTGTTTCAGTCATTTCTATTAAGTTTTCAGTTTTGAAGAACGGTCATTTGGAGTAAATTGTATTTGAGTATTAAATATGTGTTAATGTTGATACTGGTGACTTTTATATGCAAATTTAATGTTTAAATTGTTTCCTGTAGATAAAAATATCATTTTTTTCTATATACAGTTGGAGAAGATGGACAAATAAAAATTTGGTCAAAGACTGGGATGCTCAGATCAACATTAGCTCAACAAGGTATGTTTTATAATTGAAAATTTTGTTTTTCAAAATTATATAAGGAGAGGCAGAAAGAGAGAGAGATCTTCCATCCACTGGTTCACTCTCCAAATGGCCTCAGTGGCCAAAGCTGAGCTGGTCCAAAGCCAGGAGTCAGGAGCGTCTTCCGGGTCTCTCACGTGGGAGGGGCCCAAGGACTTGGACCATCTTCTGCTGCTTTCCCAGGCAGGAAGCTTGATAGGAAGTAGAATAGCTGGGACTCGAACTGGCACCCATATGGGATGCTGGCACTACAGGCGGAGGCTTTACCTGCTATTCTACAGTACTTGTCTCTCAAAATTATAAAATATCAAAAATGCTTTGACATTTTTCTTTAGAAACAATCATTGTATCAATATAGATTGACTGGTAAAGTTCAAAACCTGAAGTCTCATATTTGCATTCACATTTTTTTCTTCTTACTTTCCTTGATGCCTGGTGGGACACAGTAACCTTCTTTTCTTTTCTTTTATTATTTTTAAAAAATATTTATTAATTTATTTGAAAGTCAGAGTTACACAGAGAGAGAAGGAGGGGCAGAGAGAGAGGTCTTCCTTCTACTAGCTTACTCCCCAGTTGGCCACAATGCACTTGGGCCATCCTCTACTGCTTTCCCTGGCCACAGCAGAGAGCTGGATCAGAAGTGGAGCAGCCAGGACTCAAACTGGTGCCCATATGGGATGCTGGCACCTCAGGCAGCAGCCCCACCTCACACCACAGTGCCAGCCCCAGTAACTTTATTTTTCAAAGAAATGTAAGAAATACTCAAGAACTTTTTCTTATGTTAATGAATCTGTATTAACTCAGTTATAAGCTAAATATTCTTTTTAAAAAGCATTCTTGAGGGGCTGGTGGTGTAGTGTAGTGGGTGAAGCTGCCACCTGCAGTGCCACCATCCCATATGGGTGCCAGTTCGAGTCCTAGCTGCTCCACTTCTGATCCAGATCTCTGCTATGGCCTGGAAAAGCAGTAAGAGATGGCCCAAGTCCGTGAGCTGTTGCACTCCTGTGGGAGACCAGAAAGAACCTCCTGGCTCCTGGCTTCGGATTGATGCAGCTCCACTTGTTGCAGCCATCTGGAGAGTGAACCAGTAGGTGAAAGACTCTCTCCCTCTCTCATTCTTTCTCTTTCTCCTTCTGCCTCTCTGTAACTCTGCCTTTCAAATAAATAGTTTTTTTTTTTTTTAAAAAAGCATTCTTGTAGCATTTGACACTTATATAGAATTGGAAATCTTGTTAAATAAATCATAGTAACAGAAGACAGTAAGATCATCTGCTTACTTAGAAAGTCCCAGTAACTTTATAATATTAGGACCCCTTCTAAATTATGTGATATGTTTTATCTCTATAGTCATGGGGAGTAACAAATACAGTGATGATCTGAAACCTTGTTAACTATTAGAGATACTCCTCAATTTTCTACATCAATAGAAAGGAATAGCCATAAAGCCAGTCCAGTAGTCATTCCTATTGCGATTCATAGTTCATGGAAGCAGGTATAGGTGAATTTCAATGAAAAGAAAAAGTCAATTTATGGCTACTTTAGCAATAAAATATACCCTTAAAATAAATTTTACTTTAATCATTTAGTGGTCCTGGGGACTTACGTTTGGCTTTATAGATTTTTTTTTGCTAAATTGAGTTCACTTTGTGACTTATGACTTATGAGCAGTTGACAGAATTCTTCCAGAGATCACATGCCTTGGAAGGACTGTAGGAAATTCCAGAAGTGGTGATGGGGCTGTAGTTCTTTTTAGATGTTGCTGCTGCTGAGGCATCCTTTTTTCTTTCTTTTCTCTTTCTCTTATTGATTTTATTGACTACAGATGACACAGAACTTCTGAGAAATTCTCCAAGCTTATTCCATTATCTATCATAGAAGAGTTTAATTCTTTCCCAAGATTGTTCACAAGACTCTCCCCACCCCCACCTTGAATGCTCCTTCTTTTTCCTTCAGATCTTCGGAGTTGTTCGCTTCCCATTTGCTACCTTTATATCCACCATTTCAGACTTAACAAAGTCCAAAGTCCAAACCTGGATTAAGTTGTTTAATATAAACATGATTAGTCATAGAAATTAGGCAATACTAGTGCTATTCAATACTATAGTTTACCTGTTTGAATATGCTGTACTTCTATAAGTCTCCTTCTTTCCTGGTACTTAAAACCAAACTGCTACTTATTTTACTTTTTTTAAAAAGATTTATTTATTTATTTGAAAGGCAGAGCTGCAGAGAGGCAGAGGCAGAGAGAGAGAGGTCTTCCATCTGCTTGTTCACTCCCCAAATAGCTGCAATAGCCAGAGCTGCACCAGTCCGAAGCTGGGTGCCAGGAGCTTCTTCCGGAACTCCCATGCAGGTGCAGGGGCCCAAGGACTTGGGCCATCCTCCGTTGCTCTCCCAAGCCATAGCAGAGAGCTGGATCAGAAGTGGAGCAGCTGGGACTTGAACCGGTACCCACATGTGATGCCGGCACTGTAGGCATCAGCTCTACCCTCTACACCACAGGGCCCCTACTAAACTAAGGGCCCCCTCTTAGTTTACTTTTATAGGGAAAGTATATTCAGAATTCCTTAAGTTTCAAAGGTAGATTGGGAACACATAATAATAAATGCAGGACTTTCCACAGTATTGAAGTTTACAGGTCATCTGTGGGCTGAATCTGGTCCACTAGCATGGTTCAATTCCAACATTAAAACTCAGAATATGTCAGAGTGGGTATTTGTCCTAGTGGTTAAGATGCTGGGCGAGATGTGTGTGTACCATATTGGAATGCCTGGGTTCAGTTACTGTCTCTGATTCTTGATTCCAGGTCCTGTCAGTTTAGACCCTATGAGACAGCAAGTCATGGCTCAAGTAGCTGGGTCTCTTGTTCTATTGTGGGAGAGCTAGATTGAGTTCTGGGCTCCCAGTGTGGGATTGGCTTAGTCCTAGCTGTTGCAAGCATTTGGGGAGTGAGCCAGTGGATGGGAGCTTTCTGTATTTCTCTCTGCTTTTCTCTGTCTTGCTGCCTCTCTAATAGAAAAAAGATATGAACATTTCACATATACTTTTTATTTCCTGTTTCTTGTGAAAAATTGTATGATCTGGCAACATTGGGCCTACTTTGTAGCATAAATACACTCAATTGGAGTTCAGTAGTAGTTACTTTATTTTTAGTTGGATTTGAAGCTTCTCTATGTAATTTTCTTGCACTATACCCTCTAAACTAATGTATGTTCTATGATAGAAAGCAACATAAATTTCTGAAGGGATTCAACTCTGCAACTCCAGCTTTCAATAACAGTTGGTACAAACCTTGGAAGGTGCACTTAAATGTTTTAATTTTATTTTTAAGTTTTTTTTTTTTTTTTAATTTGTGTGTGTGTGAGAGAGAGAGGGAGAGAGAGAGAGAGAGAGTTTGATACAGAGAGAGAGAGAATGGGACAGCTCCTATCTGTTGATTTACTTTCCACATGCTGACAATGGTCAACACTGGGCTGGAACCAGAGCCAAGAACCAGGAAATCAATATCAGTCTCCCATATGGATGGCAGGGACCCAACTATTTGAGCCATTACCTGCTACCTCCCAGAGTCTGTGTTGGTGGGAAGCTAGCATTGGGAACCAGCACTGTTGAATTCAGGCAGTCTGATATGGGATACTAGTAGCTTAATTAGCATCCTAACCACTAGAATGCCCACCTCTAATTTTTAATAGATAATGCCTTCACATGATTCAGAATTTAAAGCATAAAAAGTATAAACTTATTTTATATCCTCTTTTATCTTTTAAGTACTAATACTGCCTCTCATATTACTCCTGTCTTCCAGCCACTCAGCTCACATCATCAGAAGCAACTAATGTTTTTATTTTCTTATGTTGCAAATATATGTATATATTTTTCTTTTATGAACAAGTGGTTGTGTACACAGTGTGTTTCTTGCTTTTTTTTTTTTACTTATCCATAAGCTATCTTGGAAGTCATTCCACATCAGTACATAAAAATCATCCTCAAACTGTTTTGCAGAGTGAGCATACCATTTTATATACCCATATGCAATGTATAAAGGTTCCAGTTTCTCCACAGCCTAGCCAATGCTTATTATTGTCTGTGGTTTTTTAATTATAATCTTTTTAGTGGGTGTGAAGTGATATCTCAGTGTGGTTTTGATTTGCATTTCCTTGATGGCTAATGATGTTGAACATTTCTTCATTTGCTATTGGCCATTTATTTATATTCTTGGGAGAAATATCTATTCAAGCCCTTGCCCATTTTTAAAATTGGTATTTCTTTTTATTGTTGAGTTATAAGAGATCTTTTTTTCTTCCATTCTGTGGGTTATGTTTTTACTTTCTTGATGGTATCTTTTGAAGCACAAATGTTTTTGAAAAAGGCCAATTTTTTATTGCTTCTAATTTTAGTGTCATATCTAAGAAACCATTTCTTAATCCAAGGTCATGAAGATTATATCTATATTTTTTTCTCTTCCTCCTCCTCCTCTTTTTATTTGAAAGGCAGAGAGACTGTGTTTGTGTGTGTGTGTGTGTGTGTGTAGGAAAGAGACCAAGAGAGAAACAGACTTACAGACGTACAGATATAGATCTAGCATCCACTAGTTCACTCCTCAAATGCCTACAATAATCACAGTAGGACCAGGCCAAAGCCAGGAGATGGTAACTTAGTACAGGTCTCCAACATGGGTGGCAGGGCCCCGACTACTTGAGTGATTGTCTGCTGCCTCCCAGAGTGTACCTTAGCAGGAAGCAGGAATCAAGAGCAGAGCTGAGACTTGACCTCAGGTACTCTACTTGTATGAGATGCAGAAGTACCAACTGGTGTTTTAGCCACCATGTCAAACGCCTGTCCCAGTATTTTCCTTTGTGAATTAAAACAATTTTTTAATTATTCATTTCATTTGAAAGGCAGCTATCTGTTGGTTCACTCCCAAAGGCCTGCAATAGTCAGGGCTGGCCACCCTGAAGCCATGAACCCAGAACTCA